GGCATTTTTAAACAGAAGGCATTTTTAGCTCTTGTCTGCTGCTTCCCAAGCCTGGAAGAATGACTTTTCTGCAATAGCCTGGGTGGAAACCTTGCTTCCAAACCGAAGCTGAAAATCTTGCAAAATCACATGATTCCACAAGCTGGAGCTTCTAAAGGGGAAAAAAAAAACCGTTCAGCTCCAGGAGCAGATGTCACCCAACCACGAGGAGCCCCATGGGATATCAAATCACATGCAAATATCCTGAGATTTGCATTCAAAGCCATGAGAAGCCACCCCAGTGCAGTGGCACGAGCGCTGTGCTTCAGGGCTGGAGGCAGTGGGCAGGCTTGGGGTTTGCTGGGTTCCCCAGGGCTGGGATCCTGCACAGTTCCATGCAGAATCCCAGCCTGGAACAAGGACTCGGGAAGATGGAGTGAGGGTCTGGGGCCTGTCTGGCAATTTCTGCCTCATGTTCTTTTCTGCGAGGTCAAAATCCTTCTTCCTCTGTCCTGAGCTGTACCTGAAACTAAGCAGCATGTTCCAGTGAGAGAAGTAATTACCATGAGTTCATAGCATGTATTTTTAATGAGGCTGGTCAGAACCTTCATTTAGTATTTTGATTCATTTTTCTGTGCTCGGCAGCTCCCGACGTCTCCGCTTTTGCTCTCCTGGAACCACTGCAAGCAGCTCCCAGAGCCAACCCAGACAGTGAGCAGCTCCATCACCAAAATCCTGACTTTTTAAATTGATGTTCAGGGTCTGGGGGGGCTGTTGGGAGCAGCTCTGGGTGCTGCAGGAGCGGGAGGATCGAGGATCAGGGCGCTCCTGGATTTGCTTGTTTCCGCCCACTGTTTGAAGTGCATCAACAATTCCTTCCCGGCAGCAAAACAAGGCAGAGCTGGTACTTTTAAGGTAATTCTGACATCCGTGCTATGAATAGATCCTGAGGGAAATTTGCCCTCTCTCCTGGGTTCCCTGTGCAGGAGCTCAGGGGAAGGCAGGGCTGGGGAGAGGCCCCAGGCCCTGGCACTGTGGGATCTGGGAATGCTTTGGGGTGGAAGGGACATTAAAGGCGTCCCATTCCAACCCTCCTGGCTGGTGGTGGCTCATCCCAAAGCACGGCTCTGCTCAGGTGAGGGGATGCAGCCCCTTCCCAGGCAGGCAGCTCCCACCCAGCATTCCCACTCCATCCCCCTGGAGCAGCAATTCATGCTGGCTTTTGGGAAATATTCCCTGCTTTTCCCCTCCCCAGCCACTCCCCAGCCATTTGGTGGGCAGCTCCTGGTGCACCTGCTCAGAGAGGTGTCACCAGTGGCACTGCAGGGCTGGCAAAGTGGGACATGGAGCAGGACAGGCTGGCAGGGCCCCACCCCAGCAGCTCCCTGTGCTCCCCTCTCCCAACAACAGGAATATTTCCCAGCCCGGGCCAAGAAAACCCACTTGCCTACTCAGCCAGTGCTAACAATGCAAACACTAATTATATTTCCCTCACCTATCAAAGGATGATTCATTTTAGGTGAGTGGGCACGGAGATTACACAAGATGAACAGCACCGTGCGACCGCCCGGCCCTGTTGGGGCAGCCCTCCCGAGAAACAGGGATTTAGGGACGTGCAGGATGGGGACAGGATGGCAACAGGGTCAGGCTGGTTCACAGCAGGCACCCCCAGCCTGTGCCCTTCCCTCGGGGATGCAGTGGGTACCCAGGATGGGCTGGTCCCATCCCAGAGCCCTGTCTGGTTCAGGATCCCAGTTGTTCAGCTGGGAAGAGGTGGGAGGAGGAGGAAACCAGCATTGCCAGGGATGGAAAGGGCAAAAACAGATCTGGAGGCTTCCTTCAGCCACCCCATCTCATCCACCCCCACCAAAGCCATGATGGTTTCAGCAGCTCAGCCCAAACCCAAGGCAGAGGATTCCCATGGGAAGGCTGGAGCTACAACTCCAGCTGTCCCCGGGGTGAAATCACTGAGATCCCCACAGCATCCCAGCAGGAAGCAGCTGTGATGTCTCCTGATCTCCTGACCTGATCTGAAGAGGGTCTCCAGCCCTCTGCCCCAGCTCCCCCAGCCCCACTGACAGCATCCCCAGCCCCACAGAGCTGCAGATCCAGGTGGGTGCAGCTCCTTTCCCTGGAGCAAGGGAGCAATTCCTGCTCCCACTCCAGAGCTGGGCTGAATCAGACAAGTGCTTCAACTCCAGCTCCCAGCCCTTGGGAGCCTGCTTTATGTAACACCAGGTGCTCTGGAGGGGCCCAGGAGGTTTTTTGGCAGCAAGACGAGGCCGTACCAGCAGTGTGGGGATGTCTGAGTGCGCGAGGCCGCGGGGACAGCAGGACGGCGCAGGGGCCGCGTGCCAGCCGTGCCAGGGCCGCGTGGGCTCCGGGCAGAGCAGCGTGGATGGGCACCAATCCCCGGGGCTGGGGGAGCAGGGTTTGCTCTCCTGGGGGTCAGGAGCGAGTGGGAAGGGCGTGGGGGGCTGCTGGGCGTGGGGGCCCGGGCGTGGGGCGCGCGGCGGGCGCGGCGTGGGAGGTGTGAGCTCGGCAAGCTGCGCGCGGGGGCAGCGCTGCCGCGGGGCTGGCGGGAGCCCCCGGGCCACCGAGTGCCACCCCCGGCCCCCAGCACAGCCAGCATCCAGCAGGGACACCAACAGCCCCCCCAGCACAGGCTGCCCTTCCCCCTGCAATGGGAAAACTGGAGCAAATCCCTGGGTTCTGGGGCTCCCCGAGCATCGCTGCGCATTTCGGGCTCCATCCCCGAGCCAGGGATGGGGAGCTAAAAAAGAAATGGTGTGCAAGGGATGAATATTTATCTGTGGGTGGCAAGTGACAGATGCTGGGGCGAGGATTCTTGGGTACTTCAGTTTGCTGGAGGTAATAACTGGAATAGATTAATGAGAAACATCCTTCCCTACCGTTGCCTCCCCGGTGCCACCGCTCCCGCACACAGCGGCCGCTGGGACCCAAACACACAAAGTTCAGCAAGGCTCGGTGTCCAAAAAGGCTGGAGATGCCCAGCTTTGGTGGTTTCCACCCAGAATGGAGCCAGGCAGCTGGGAAAGGGCCGTGGCCTCTGGGTGCTGGGAGCTGAGTTGGTGGAAGTGGCCTTGGAGGTGGCTGTGGCCCAGCTGAGGTGGGAGATGCTGCTGTGGAGGAGCATCCACAGTTACCAGCACCCTGCATTCCCCCAGCACGGCATTCCTTCCTCCTTGGAAGGTTTGCAGGGGGAGCATTTTGCCACAGACCCTGCCCTTTCCCAGCACTGCTCCTCTTCCCTCCTCCCGAAATCGCAAACACGCGACGACGACGTCGCTTTCGGGTCCCTGAGCGCCGGGAAGCCTTGCTGGCCTGACAAGATGGAAGGAAAAGCTGTTTCCTTCTGGTAGCTTCTCAGAAAACGCTGAAACTGCCGCTAAGCCACCCCAGGGTGGGGATGCTGCCCAGGTTTCCCTAAAAAACGCTGCTCTGCAGAGGATGGGGAGCGTGCCGGGGCGGGGGCACGTGCGTGGCCGGGGACAGGGCCAGCCCTGCAACACCCAGCCCTCAGAGACCTGTAGTTAGTCCAGACTTGTGTCTGTCCTCCCTCAAACCTCCCAGGCAGGGGCTGGGTGCCAGGAGGAGACAGCACCCACGTTGGGAGCAAGCAGAAACCCCCCCACAGCCCCTCCTGAGCGCCTCGGATGTGGGAGACGGCGACGATTCCCTGCCCAGGCTTTATTTTTGACTGGGATTTATCCATGGCTTCCAAACACACATCCCAGCTCAGTCCCCAGCATCCTTCCAGGCAGCTGAAACAAAAGGTTGCAGCTCTCTTTTTCTCGGGGAGAAAACAACCGGCACTGAATTATCATTAAAAATCCCGAGGTGGTTCCGCCTCTCCCTGTGAGAGCACAGAAAAAAAGCAGCTGCAGGTGAGGTTCAACCTCCCCTCCCTGAGCAACCACAAAGCAGCAAACTGGGCTTTCCAGAGCAAGGTCTTGCAGCACCTTTCAGCAGGGCTGCGATGGAGCTTCCCGACGCTGCAATTTCCTCACCGGAGCCGTATGGAAAACCATAACATCCTAAAAATAACCCGGGAGCCTGCTTTAGGAGGCCTCCATTCCCGGGAAAAGCAGGGGCCAGAGGAGCTCAGGGCCCCCCAGCTGCTGGCAGGTAGGCCTGCCTCGGATTATGGTGGCAATTCCCATTGTGGAAGGAGCCCCAGCCCAGGAGAGAGGATGATACAGCCACTTCCAGCACGGCGCCAGCTGTTTCTCCCAGTTCAGCCCTAAAGCTTGTTAGCCCAGCAAATTTTTTGGGTTTGATCGCTCCAATTGGGTTTTCTTGTTTTTCCTCTAATCCCAGTTTCCCCTCAGCATCTCGTTAAGCCGCGTTGACGGCAGAGAAGAGCTCTGGTGATCCCTCTGAGCCCCTACGCTAAGCATTAAGCCGTAAACTAGGAATGTAAGACTCTTGTCTGAATTAAAGTCTTTTCCCTGGCATCACTGAGCGTGGGGCTGCCTTTGGAGGGGCTGGAGGAGGAGCAGAGCCCCCCACCCCTGGCTGGGAGCTCTCCACCCCTGATCCCCCCACACACACACACACTGGCCTCCATCCTGCCCCGCGTTGTTCCCATGCAAATCCTACAGGTTCCAGTGGTGCAGTCAGAAGTGCCAATCCCATGTGCAACTTGGGTTGTGTCCCCAAGGCCTGGCCCACCCCGTGCTCCGACCCCTCTGGGCCAGAGCTGGGCATCCCCCCACCAGCACAGCCCCTTCCACATATCCAAAACCTGCTTGAGGAGAGCAAGGAGGGAGCAGCCAGCGCCCAGAGACCCCATGGAACATTTGGGGCTACCTGTGGCAAAGAGCTGGGCTGGTGCCACGCTGGGCTGGTTCCTTCTCCCCTGCAGGGTGGGAGCATCCCCTGAGCCAAGGCAGCAGGTTGCAAGCTCCCAGAGTCCAACCCAAACCCCTCTGGGAGCATCTCCCCACCACCCTCCACCCCACCTGCCCCAGCCAGGAAGGGATCAACGCATCACCTACCTCCATCCGAGTAGGTCTCTGTCCCGTAGCCATCCTGTAATCCATTGCTCCAGGTGCCTTCGTACTTGGCCCCGTTTCCAGTGCATTCCCGGACCCCGTACCGTCCCTTAAATCCATGGGTCCACTCTCCTTTGTACACCCACTTCCCTTTGCTCTCCATGCCAATGCCATGGCGCTTGCCCTGCGCCCAGGTGCCCTGGTAAGTGTTGCCACTGGGCCAAGTGTAGACCCCCAGCACCTCAAAGCCGTGACTCCAGGAGCCCGAATATTCACCTTGACCCTTCGGGCCGGTACAGATTCCATGGCCATGAGCCTTTCCGTCCTCCCAGCCTCCACAGTACGACCCTCCATCGTCAAAATTAAACCTTCCCCCACTGGACATGCATGTAATTCGGTTTGCAAATCTCCCGAAAGGTGAAAAAAAAAAAAAAAGGGGGGAACAAAAGGAAAGAAACGAAAGAAAAAAAAAAAAAAAAAAAAAAAAAAGGGAAAAAGAGAAAAGAATAGGAAGAAATGCAGGAAATAAAACGCGAACGATGACTTGGGGAAAAAGAAATAAATAAAAATTTAAAAAAATTAAATCAAATCGAACTCAATTGAAATCATGCACCAGATCCAGGGAGCTGCTTAAGCCAGTTTCTTGTGATTATTCATTCTCTGGGAGTATGTTGAGGATCAGTTCTCTCTTCCCCTGCTGTGGAAACAGGATCATTAAAAAAAAAAAAAAATAGCAGCAAGAACAGCAGCAGCTATTGGATTTTGGTGCAAACGACTCCACCTAAAAACCATCCAAGGCAGGGAACGGGGGTGGGGGAAAAGG